GAAGGGATGAGGACTTGAACCAGCCGTGGACTGTGGTTGGGGTCAGGAATGGGCTGGTGGTGAGGAGGAAGGGGACACGGACTGCTTGGGGACAGGGGTCAGGGGCACGGATCAGCTGGGGGAAGTGGGGACAGGGACCAGCTGGAGGTGAAGAGGAAGGGGACATGGACCCACTTGGAGGAAGGGGATGGGGACATGGGCCAGCTGGGGGTATGGGGGACAGGATTGTGGACTGGCAGACAGGGGACAGGTGCTTAGTGACCTGCTCGGGATATGGGGGATGAGGAGGACTATGGTCAGCTGCGGTCCTGGGCATGGACCAGCTGGGGACAGGATAAGTCTTGTTGGAGACTTTGGGACAGGGATGTGGAATAGCTGGGAGCAGGGGGACTGGGACCTGCTGGGAACTGTGGGACAGGTACACGGATTGGGTGAGGGCGGATGGACTGGGACCTGCTGGGGGAGGGGGACAGAGACCCACTAGGGTGAGAGGGATGGGGACATGGACTGTCTGGGGAGGATAGGATGGGGGGGTGGGCAAGTGATGAGAGGAATTGGGGTCTAATGGGGACAGTGGCATGAGAACAGGGACTTGCTGTGGGCAAGATGGGAGAGGGACCATCTGAAGACAGGGAGGATGAGGATGGGGATGAGGGGAATGGCAGGGAGTAGGGATAGGAACGAGATGGGGATGGGGGAGCTGGGGACAGCAGGGTGACGGTGGCAAGAGGCCGGGGCTGTTGGGGCCCAGGGCGCAGCCATGCTCGGGTGTGGGGCCAGCAGGACAGCCGGGTCACGGCAGGGCTCCCCTCTGCCAGCCGCGCAGAGGGAGGCACCCACTGCGCGGGGCTGTGGCTCAGCCCCACCCTTCCCGAGCGCCGCGGGGCGCTGCTCACCGCCCCCTCCTTCCCCAGGATATGGAGTTGGAGCCGCGAGGGAACGGCCTGGAGTAAGTGTGGGGATCCGGGGGCCAGCGCGGCGGCCGCTGCCTGCCCGGCATGGGGCTGGCACTGTTCAGCCCTGTTTCGCCCCTTGCCAGGCCCGTGGGGCACTACGAGGAGATTGAGATCTCGGAGAGCAGCGTCAACAACGGCCCCGAGCACATCGGTCCGCACTGCTTCGAGCTGCTCCGCGTCCTGGGCAAGGGCGGCTACGGCAAGGTGGGGGGCAGGCAGGGGGGGACGAGAGGGTCACACAGCGTGGACAGGGTTCCCCATCGCGTGATGCAGCTTGAGGGGGTGAAGGGGACTGAGACCCCTCTGTGAGGGGGGACGTCCCCTTTGCAGACCTCATCTCCCAGCTGCAGGAAGGGTCCAGGGCTCCAGCTAGGACTAGTAGCCCTCCATAGGGTATAAGCGGCAGGTAACCAACCTGAGAAGCTCTGTGGCTTCAGCAAGGCTTTGGATGCTGTCTCCCGTAACACCACATCGGCAAGCCCAGCACGTGTGGGTTAGATGAGCGGACAGCATGGAGGATGGAGAAGCGGCTGAAACGCAGGGATCGGAGGGTCGTGGTTAGTGGTACAGTCTCGCTGGAGTCCTGAAGCCAGCGGTGTCCCCCAGGGGTCCAGTGTGGTTCAGCCCCAGGGGACTGCCAGGTCCGGTCTGCTTCAGCCCGTTCATCAGTGACCTGCATGGAGGGACAGCAGGCACTGTCAGCAAGTTTGCTGGTGGTGCAAAGCTGGGAGGAGTGGCTGTTGCACCCGAAGGCTGTGCTGCCCTCCTGGAGAGGTTAGAGAGATGGGCAGAGGGGAAGGTACCTCATGAAGCTGAATAAATGAAAGCTCAGGGTCGTGCGTCTAGGAAACAATAGGATGAGAGGCAGTGGGCACAGACTAAAACATGGGAAGCTCCCCCTGAACATGAGGAAAAACTTGTTTCGTGTGAGTTGGACTGAGCACTGGGTCCTGTTGTTTGGGGAGGTTCTGCAGCCTTCCCCCTTGGAGATATTCTGAGGCCATCTGGACACAGACCTGGGCAACGTGCTCTAGGTGACCCCACTGGGGTAGGCGAATTGGTCTAGATGTTCTTTAAAGGTCCTTCCCAACCTCAGCCATTCCGTCTTTCTGTAGTTAGAGGCTACTGGGGGGGGTATCACTGCCCTGGCTGTGGCTCCAGCTCCCTCAACCATCGTTGCAGGTATTCCAGGTCCGCAAAGTGCAGGGCACCAACACGGGCAAGATCTTTGCCATGAAGGTCTTGAAGAAGGTAACAGGCCCCTGACGCCCTCGTGCTGCCTGGGGTGCCCCCGCTCACCGCGTCCCCGATCCCTGCAGGCAAAGATCGCCTGCAACGCCAAGGACACAGCGCACACGCGGGCCGAGAGGAACATCCTGGAGGCCATCAAGCACCCCTTCATCGTTGACCTCATGTACGCCTTCCAGACAGGCGGCAAGCTCTATCTCATCCTGGAGTGCCTCAGCGGTACGGGCACCCAGGCAGCACAGCCCTCGCCTGGCGCCTCCTCCACGGCGCCAAGGGGTGGTTGGTGCCAGCTGGGAGCCGCTTCACGGCAGCCCCGCGGAGCGGGCAGGGCCCCGCGGTGCCTGGCGGCAGCACTTGGGCATGTGGTGCTCCAGGGACGGCCCACGAGTCCCGTCTCTGCTGTGTTTTGTAGGTGGGGAACTCTTCATGCAGCTCGAGCGGGAGGGCATCTTTCTAGAGGACACTGCCTGGTAAGGCTGGCTCTGTGCCCCACGGGCACCCTGGCTGCCCCACGTGGCAGCAGGGGTGACTCATATAGCCGCTTGCTCCTGGAATTGGAGGGGAAGCTGAGGCAGGGGCGAGCTGTGCTGCTGGTGTGGAGAAGGGGATGGAGAAGGGTGCTGGGATGCCGGTGTTCGTGAGGGCAGGGGCTGCCCGTCCTGGTGTCCCCCAGGCACCGCTCATGGCCTGTGCCACAGTTTCTACCTTAGCGAGATCACGTTGGCGCTGGGCCACCTGCACTCCAACGGCATCATCTACCGAGACCTCAAGCCCGAGAACATCATGCTCAACAGCCAAGGTGGGTACCCCCGTGGCCAGGGCCCGCCGGCGGCTCTGGGGCCGGCTCTCATTGCTCCGTGGCTTCTCGCAGGCCACATCAAGCTGACCGACTTCGGGCTGTGCAAGGAGTCGATCCATGACGGGGCCGTCACACACACCTTCTGTGGCACCATCGAGTACATGTGAGCCGTGGCGCAGCCCTGTGGGATGTCCCGTGCTGCGGGAGGGCCGTGCTGCGGGCTCTGCCCTGCCAGAGAGGCTCAGGATCCCCCCTGTGCCCTCCCCGGCAGGGCCCCGGAGATCCTGGTCCGCAGCGGACACAACCGGGCAGTGGACTGGTGGAGCCTGGGCGCCCTGATGTACGACATGCTCACAGGATCGGCAAGTCGGACTTGTTACCTCCAGCGTGTCCCCGACGAGCACAGGGGCCCGCGGCAGCAGCTGTGCCAGGGCAGGGGGGCAGGAGTTGCCCGGAGGGGACCTGTGGGGGCCGTGGTGCCTGGGAAGGAGGGCAGGAGTTGCCCGGGGCAGGGTGACAGGTCCCCAGCGGCCGTGGTGTGGGGAGGCGAGTCCTTGGCTTCAGACTGGCTTCTTGCCTGACGCCCGCCCCGTGGTGCCCGCCCCGTCTCTTCCTCGTCATCTCCTGTCTCTCGCAGCCCCCCTTCACAGCCGAGAACCGCAAGAAAACCATCGACAAAATCCTCAAGGGCAAACTGGTGCTGCCGCCCTACCTGACCCCCGATGCGCGGGACCTGCTCAAGAAGGCAGGTGCCACCCCCGGGCCTGTTGGCGGCCGCAGGGTCCTGCTCCGTGCCCCTAACC